ATGTTTGTATGCTCGAGCTGAAGCTTCAAAGCAGTTCGCTGTGCAAGATTTTAACAAAGCCCAAGTCCTTTTGGTGGCACTGTGACAGGGCCTTTGACTGGCAGAGAGAAAGGAGCATCATTAAAGACACATCAAAGGCCGCTGACATCAAGGGCCCGTTCCTGATTTAAGGCCGAGAAATTGTCAAAGTTTAGGCTGCCATTAAGTCAACTGTGGGCACAGGCGGCAGCTGGTTAAAACATTGTCTCAATCTGGCGATAAACTGGAACTGCTTATAAATTCTTTTGTCTGCAGCAGCTGTCAATTGGGGGCAGCGGCATCTTTTGTGGCAACTCTCGGGAGAGCGGCAGGCAGAGATCTGTGGATCGATGCTGTCAGCATTACGGATGCAGGAATGCGATGAGCAGTTGGTCCCTTAACTGGTTTTTTTCTCCTCCAGCAGCAGCAGCAGGCACAGCTGCTTGATGGCTGCAACTGCAACTGCAACAGCAACAGTCATTCTGCTTGCCACAAAATGTTGCACTCATGATGCTACTCGGCAATTGTTATCCTTGCGGGCTTTTATGGCCGTATTACCTGCCCAGCAGCGGGGCACGAGGAGACAATTTCACATCCTGCGCGTCGATGATTTTATGACAGCAATGCGTCTATTAGGATCTGTGGCCGAATTTCTGTATCCAGGGAGCTGCTGCTGCTGCTGTGATTGCATTGTGCCTCGGATATGGATCTCGCAGCTGTTTTGTGTCGTGGTCCACTTGGTCCTTTGGCCGCTTTATTGTTTCGGGCAACAACGACGGACGGCCACATCAAAATGAGCCATAAGTGGAACAAAGCTTGGAAACGTGACCAAATCAAATTTAATGGGTGTGTTGCCATGCCACATTATGGACAGGAGCCAGCCAGAAAGGAGGTGCACTAGCTACAAAACGAATGTGGCGCCATCGTGCGGACAGAAGCGGCAACAAATACGCCTTGTCAATGATAACAAAGTAGCTGGCGATTGTTATTGTTGTTGTTCTTGCTGCTGTAATTGTTCGCCTGTTTGGCAAATGATTTATGCCCCGTGTACTCGAAACGTACGCATATATACATATATATATATATATTCATCTATAAATATTTAAAGAGCAAGTGGCTATTGTAAATGGTTTGTCATGTCAGCTGCTGCACAATTAATCAAGGATTTGTTTTTCAGCGCTAAATAATGAAGCTGGCAGCGAACAAAATGAATTTTAGGCCCAATGTCCCCAAAGGAGCTGCTGGCAACAGATTTATTTATTTATTCGTTTATTTATGTTGCTAGCGCCGGTCGCAACATGCAACATGTTGATAACCGTTTCGCTGTGGCAACATACGCTGCGAGCGAACACGCTTATTCAGCGCGTGAGCGCCACAGCCTGCTCCTGCGTGCGCTCTCACGCGCTCGCTCTCTCAGCAGCAAACAGTATACACAGAAACGAAACGAATTGAAACGACGACTGGCTCAGGCACAGGGTGTTCACGGTATTTACCATTAAACAGCCACAGACGATGGCGTCTGTCAAGTGCGCTTCATCATAATTTGGCCGTTAATACTCACACACACACACACTGGCGTACACACACACACACATACAGTGGGCTGTGAAGCCTTTGGCTGGCTTAGTCCCCAACTTGGTGTGTGTTCAACATCCTTGACGGGCATCCACATTACATTTTTAAGGTGTTTTCCTTTGCACGCATTGTTAAATATTTAATCACAAATTTAATGCGTGGTTTTCCAAATCGACCTGAATCTGATGTCTGTGCCTTGACTTTGAAATTTGTATGTTTTTATAATCGTACGATACGGATATTCTTTTATTTGTAACACGCACGTGTGAGATTTTGAATAATAGCTGACAGATTGGGCGAGTTTTCATGCTTTTCATACATTACACTATCCAACAAGCAGTTGGTTCTAGGTTTAAATACAACTTTTTCTAATTTACGTATTTATAATGGCATAATTTCCGATTGATTTACAAACATTTAATGCAATTAAATGTAAAAGTGATGTATTTATATTTAAAATTTCCATAATAAATATAACTAAATATTAGTTCAAATATTGTGTTTATGTTTATTTTAAGCTGGCCATGTTGGGTATTTTGTATATAAACATAAGAACCGACCGATTATTATTTTATTCAATTTTAATTCATCAATAAAATTGAAAATTGTTGCATATTTTAGGGCGTTCAAAATTCTAGGAGATTATGTCCGCTATTATTTTTATTAGGAACGATGAAAAAAAAAACATTTTTATCAATTTCAACGAAAATTTAATTAGGCTTTAAACTGCGTACTTGCGGCATAAATTTATTCTTGAACTAAAATATTTTGAAGCATTTCATTAACAAGTTTCAGAGTTAATCTAAAGTCATCTGTGAGAAGCATAACGGAGCCCCAGACTTCTGAGGTAATTAAACATGATTTGATATTGAAAAAGTTTATTATTTTTTCTCGACTGTCTTTTATGAATATGTATGCACAGAGGGACATTTTTATGGGCTCTGTCTTTGTGTTTGCCGACTCACAGTATTAAATGCTTATTAAGAGGCAACTTCCAAAACAAAAATGAAAAATGAATAAAGAAAATACAAAAACAATGTTGAAAACAAATTACGCTTTATATATTCCATTATTTGACTCCACTGTAAGCAGCTGGAAAAGAACAACACGAAGAGCAAATACTGCGACAGCAAATGGCAAACACAAAAGTCTTTACTGTAGCTGTAACTGTAACTGTAGCTGTAACTGTAGCTGTAACTGTTACTGTTCTATTTTTTATGTAATTATTTTTAATTTCGGGCCAACTTTGAAGTGGCAGCTCAGCCGCCAGCCATTTCCCTTGTCCGTCCGCTCTGGCCCAAGCCCAAGGTTGGCCCTTGTCTTATCTGCTGCTCAATCGGCCGAATGCGAGTCAAAAGTGCTGCTGCATGACATACTTCGAGGCGTCCCCCACACTAAACGACTTGCGTAGTGCAAATAAACCGAAAAAAAAACAAGAGGCAAGCGCAAACTTTAGCAAGCCGAAGATAAAATACCCTAGATGTGGCTCAAAAATGCTTTTTAACGTAAGTTTTATATAGAAACGATTATTCCTATAGTATAGTATATAGTAGTCCGATCTGACGCTCTTTTGCAGGCTTGTTAGAAAAATAACGCGCAATGGCTGAATTTGGTTAAGATATCGATCGATTCTTCCTAAGGATCTACATATATGATATAGTAGACCGATGTTGATGTCATTTAGCTCATATGAGGGAAGCATAGTTAAACTAGCATATGCTCGATCAAGATATCTTGAGGGATTATTCCTATATGAGATAGTGGAATACGGATCTATGCAAACATTCAACTAGTTAGTTTTCAATATGGGAGAATGGATATGTCGACTCGGCTTTTCAGGCTGCTGCCTTCTTCTAAGCATTACACATAACATAACAAAATTATAATACCCTCTAGATGGGATTAAGAGATGGAAAAATGAGTGCCAGAAGCTTGGCCTGCGGTCTGTTTGCTGCTATTTCTTATTTAATTCTGCAGTTTCTCTCGTGAAGCACGCAACGCCCCCATCTCCTACCTTGTTGCAGCTGCCGACCCGACCCGACCCTACCCGACCTGAGCCTGGGGCCTATGCAGCCACGATAAACGCTTAACATATGCTGCGGGACTGTAGAGACTATAGCTTGGATTTGTACCAGATACCCTTCCGCACCCCCTCCTCCCCCTCTCTCTCTCTCTCTCTCTCTCTCTCTCTCCATCTCTCTCTGTATCTCTCTCGCGTATTTCTCTCTGGTCACGTTTGTAAAAATTTGCAAAAATTTATTTAATATTTTATTCTTCCTGTGGTGCGGCCGTTGCAGTCAAATTGTTGCTGCTGCTGTTGCTGTTGCTTGGCTTTTGTTCACTTTGGCTCAGCAATTTAGTGAAATATTTTGATTGCCAAACATGGCGCTGGCTGCCTGGCTGTGGCTGCTGCCATGGCGTTTGCATATGAATAACCGACAGCACTTAGCACACACACACACACATATGCGCTTTCAAATCTGTGTGTGTGTGTGTGTGCTCTAAACGGAAGTGGCAACATTGGCGCCACAGCAAAAGTTTTTGTCGCTGACAGGAAGTTGCAATTTTGTTTGCAATTTCCTTCAGTGCACATTTGCCAAAAGTGTAAGGAGGGGCGGAGGGGGGGGGAGGGGGTTGGACTGGTTGCAACTGTAGTAACAACAATTGTACGCCCCCGTCCATCCATTCCGTTGGCCACGCCCCCCGCCTTTACGCCTGTCAGCTTGTTTAGTTAACTAAGTTGCGGTTATTACGACAGAGGTACGAGAGTTTAACACGTGCGTATGGAACTGCGACGGCGACTGCCACAGCGACAGCGACAGCGACGGCGACTGCGGCTTGTTGCATCTCTGGCAACAGAGCTGACTGCTGACTGCTGCCACTGCTGGCACTGCCACAGTCGCTGCCACTGCCGCAGTCCCTGCCATATTTTGCATAGTCAAGTTCGTGCCAAATTAATTTGCAACAAAAGTTGCGCTGCGCATTTAACAAATTGAAATTTGCTATGGCAAAAAATACAAAAATATATAAAAAAGAAAACTATCTATAAATATAATGAAAATGTACAAAATATGCAAAAACATGACACGCTTTTTAGCTGCTACTTTTACAATAATTTGCAAATTCATTTGGAATTACGGTCATGCAGCAGTTGAACTCTCAGCGTGTGTGTGTGTGGTCTGTCAACATATTTCAATTAGAGGGTAGTATTTGATAATTACTGCTGCAAATGATACTCGGCAGATACGATATAAGACCACTAAAAATGCACAAATTCTTGTTAGTCAGATAACTATTTAATTAGAGTTAAATAAAATGTTTAATAAAATGTATAGTAGATAGCCCATGCTCAGGTCTGAATATATTCATATATAGTCTTAATTATATTTATGAAAATATGCACTTACCTTAAACTTAACATGCACATGCCAGATTATTTGATGACAGACTTTGATAGAAGCACATCCCTAAAAAAACAAAAGAAAATGATTATGGATTAGAGATGGAGCTGGAGAAAGAAAGTGACGTTAATTGAGAAAGAGATAGATGTATACAGAGAGAAAGAAAGAAAGACAGAGCAAGAGAGAGAGAGAGTGAGAGGGAGAGAGAGAGAGAGAGAGAGAGAGAGAGAGAGAGAGAGAGAGCGGGAGATAGAGATAGAAGGAGAGGTAGAGTGAGATATCTTCAAGATATAGAGAGAACGAGAGAGAGAGAGAGTGCAAGAGTTAGAGAAAGAGATCGAAATAGAGATAAAGATAGAGATAGAGATAAGCTGAGAAAGAGAGAGAGAGAGAGAGAGAGAGATAGAGACAGTCTCACTTTATGGGCAGATAAATATTTTCCTTAGATTGCCTGCACGCGTTTTTAATAAAAAACAACGAATAGGCATATGACAGCCTGAATTCATGAGAACCACATAGAAGAGCGATATTTTTTTTACACACACATGTCAAAAAAAGTACTAATAATACAATGATTATTTCTTTCATCTTTGCTGAATCTTTAAACAGTAGCTTCATCAATTTGATGCAAATCAAAAACTAATTTATTTTATTTAAATATTTGCATTATAGCCCTTGAGAGTTCAATAAAAATAAATAAAATAAAAAATAATAAAACATAGTAAAATAAATAAATAAATATGCATTTTTATTTTACAAAGGTGACCACAACTTGATTAATATTAATTTTAGCTCAATAAATATTCAGTTAAATGTAATAAAATGCCCGGCAGCGCTTTAGAATTGATTGTTGTTCAATTATATTTGCTTTGATGAACAAAAATTGTTATTATTTATTTTCGCTGACCACAATGCAAATAATTTTTTGACGTAGATAAGACACACAGCGGACTGCTGTGCCTGCCACGCCCACTGCGTTGTCCAGCTGGCCACGCCCAAAATTTCAATGTTGACCCGTAAACAAATAAATTAATAAAGGTTGCGAAAAACAAATGCTGTACAAAAAAAAGTTAAGCAAAAAATTTTTTGTTTCTGTACAATGTCGACCTGAAATTATATTATTTTTTTTTAATTTGTATTTATTTCTTTTTTTTTTTATATTTTGTTTTACAAACATTTCAATTGACGGGATTTGTTGCTACGGACAACAGCTTGAGATGCTCCAGAAGTGATTGAATATGGAATATGGAGGTGAAGAGCGTTTTTATGATGATAATGATGTTGTTCATGAGGTCCTGGGATGGCATTGGGTATAGTGAGAGGGGGGGGGGGGGGGGCCATAGGTCAGATGGCAACGAATATTTTTGGACATAATTTGCTCAATCATTTACATAATTTTCACAGCAACTGCCGCTTGCCACACCCCCATTTTGAAGACCTCTCCACAGCTTTTCACCCCCCTCCCGCCGGCTGTTTTGTTTTTTCTTTCGTTTTGTATCTCGTTAACAAAAAAATGGAAAATATTCAACAGAAAAACAAACATAATGCTGCTCCGGCTTACGCGTTCCTCTGTGTGTGCGTGTGTGAGTGTGTGTGTGTGTGTGTGATAAGAGCGTTAAGGAAATTTTGGTCTTGCATACTTTGTGGCCACGCTGCCGACACACACATAAACATAAACATATACATATATGTGTTCGAAACAAAAATAATTGTGTTTACTTTGTCTAATGCGATCAATGGGCCCCGATGACATGAGCGTGTTTGTATCAGCCAGATGACTTGAGTGGATTTGTGTGTGTGTGTGTGTGTGTGCGTGTGCCCAATAATTTGGATACAGCTGCACATCAACAAAGTATGTTTGAGAAATTTAATTTAGCATTATTTCCCAAAGTCAAGTTAAAATTTAATTCCAGCGCACGCCCTGCTTCATATTTAACTTTGCAGTGTAGTGTGAAGACTTCTCACTTAGAAATGTGGCCAAGGATACAAATCCCACACTTACATCCCACATGGGAAACTTTAACTTAAGGACACGCCCTTGGACGGCGTCTTCGGCGTCTACAGCTGTGTCGCGCTCATGGACAAGCTCAAGGACATGTCATCAACCGCGTCATGTATCATAATAAATACGCATTAACTTTTTTTGATACACTATGCTGGGCTACATCTCCCAAACTGAAATTAGCTAAGGTTAAGCAACTGAGCGCTCGAAGACATCGTTGCTGACGTGTCATGCAGAGCGTCCTGCAAGACAACCAGCTGGGCAGGTAAAGAGAGTTGTTTATGATACCTAAAACACCTGACAATGACAACTGCAACGAATGCCTAAACAATTGCTAAATTGTTTATGTGGCAGACTTTAACTCTTTGTTAAATTTGCAATTTAATAAATTTTCACATGTCAAGCGGACAACTTCATTTCTCAAATGAATTGATTTTCAGAACGTTTTTCTCTTGTTTACAGTTATGAATCATAATTTTTAATCTTTCGTCTGATATGCCCTAATTCAAATTCCAGAAAGCATCTCTCTGTACAGCCAACAGCTTATGCGATTGCCACAAAAAAAAAAAAAAAAACTGAATCGAATGCCCGATGCCTTTTACATGTTCTGCTGTTGCTGTCGCTGTCACGGCCCCCAGACTGGCAGGTGTTGTCCAGACTAGGTGACTAGCTCCGGAAAAAGCACAGAAAATGGCTACCTGACTGACTGCCAGCCAGCCAGTCAGCCAGCCTGCCTGCCTCTCCATGACTGGTGGCAAGAGGCAGCATTTTGAACATTTCAATCAGAGTCCAGTCCAACGACTCTCGGTCGTTGCATGCCTCAGTTCGGCATGTGATGCAAATGCCTCAACTGGACTGTACTTGATGCCACCACGCACATGCTGCCCCGTGCCCCGTGCACAATGCGACAGCCAACACAGTGGGCCACAAAGCCCACTCAACGGCATGGAGCTGCTGCTGCAAGCCGACAATTGGTTTAAAGTTTAACTTTTAGCTCGATTTCAATGTACCGAATAGTTTGGAAAATTCGTTTGCTACGTTTAGCCAATTTGAGAGTGCCACACGGCGTGCTCCTGCCAACCCTTGCGTGTGACCTTCGAACCGGCGGCGCCCACAAAAAATAAATGAATACCAAAAAAAAAAAAAAAAATTCCGTTGAGCTTGTAAATTTGCGTCAATATTTAAACAAATTTCAGCATTTTTTTGTGTATCCTTTTTTCTTCTTTTTTTCTGATTGCATGCAAACCACTCGAGTCATTTGACATGCAAACTTAATTACAATTTCATTGGGCTTGCGAAGTAGTTTTCTGCTGGTAGTTCTCGTGAAAATAAAGCTAATTCACTTTGACTGGATAAATATTTAAAATAGAGCCGGCGATGTGACTTACTTATAAGCCATATAAATAAATGGCAAATGGTTGAAGTATTCAACATGACGATGCCCCAACTTGTTTGCAAATTAAACTGTCACTCTCACTCTCTCTCTCTCTCTCTCTCTTGACACAAATAGAAATTGAAATTTATTGCAACAAAATGATTATTTAATAATAATACTCATAGACAGGCTCCCAGAAGGCAGCCAGGCTTGACAAGATGCCACTGCACTTTTCATAAATATGCATATGAGATTGGAAGTACTCGCCCCTGCCCCAGGCTCAGCTCTCCCTCTCACTCGCCCTCTACCAGACTCTGCCCCACCCCGAGCTACGGCCTCGACTTGATTTGTGGCGCTCTGTCTTCTGCTCTGCTGCTGCTGCTGCTGCTGTGTGGCATGTTTGCAACTGTAATTGTGAATGTCATGTTGCCGCCTCGTGTCAACTCACAGTTAGAAAATTGAAATTTATTTGCATTTTTGATTTGCCAGTCGTCATAAATATGCACACGGAGAGTGCACAAACAGAAAACGAGAAACTAAGTTAGTGGCATTCGGATTTGATGAGATTTTTTAATGAAGCTTCATCCTCATCCCCGTTTTCAGTGGAAGCCAAAGAAGTGGCATTAATTGGTCGGCACCCCCCTTCTCCCAACTCCCTAACTCATGTCTCTAGCTAATGTTCCTCTCTCCTCCCCTCGTCACTCATTCTCTTATACTTATGCTCAAATTACACGACGGCGATAAATAATGCAAAAGCGCGCCTGAAAATCGCCAAGTTCATCAAAGCTGGAAGCCATTCGAAGGCCGTGTGTGCTCTGATTGAAATCGAGACCGTCAGGATTTTCTTCCTCTGGTTAAAAGGATTGCCCAGTGTCGTGGCAAAGAGTGCAAGATACTTTGACATGGCTTAAGAGTTCAATGCGTCTGGGCTTACCTATGCAACTCGCATTTAAAGGGAAGCTAAGCACAGTGCGGCCAAATGTTCTGGCAGTCACATAAAGCTGTATTGAAAATCGATGCATCTGTTGCAGATTACAGCAGATACTAAATGAAATTGTATAATTTTTTAAATATATTCACTAACGGGCATTACCAGCTATTCCTCGAGCCATATTTTATTCCTCAAATTTCGTACAGCTCTTTTTCACCCATTTTGCGGCTGTGAATCGAAAAGTGTAAAACGTGTCTCACAATGTGCACAAATATCTTTGAAAATGAGTTTGAGCCAAGAAGAATTTTAAATAGACCCTCGTTAGGATGCACTTACATCAAAAAAAGTAGCTACAATAAAAAAACTTAAAATACTTATGCCAACTGGGCTTCGTATAGTTCAGCAATCAATCAGTCATTTATTCAGTCAATCAGTCAGTCAGCCATTTAATCATTCATTCAATCAGTCCGGACAAACAGCTTTTTATGTGCCACCCCGTTAAGATTGATTGTGGCTCGTGTAAAGAGTTGCATTAAAATGTTCAGGCTTATATATATATATATACATATATGCTATACCTGTGCAGGTGCACAACCTCTGTCAGGTCAATTGGGAAGTTCAGAATCAGTGTTGCACCGTGTTGTTCCCCTCGTGTGCCACTATAAATATATCTATTAATATACATATATATATATGTACGCATTCCTGGCAGCCAGCTTGATTGACTGCACGTGCCCGGTTTCATATCTTAGCCTGGGAA